TGTGATGACCAGACAATGTAACGGCAGCCGCACTCACCATCGCCACCACCGCCACCATCAACGGCAGCAGAGGCAAATGCATGCATGTCCATAAAATGCTGCACTTTATGGGACCCTACAACGTTTTTGTCGTTAAACGATTGTTTTACATTTGTACCGGCCGGACGCTTGGCCGCTCGTTCGGTTCGGAATGCTTGGAATGCCTTTTTTGGGCATTAAACTTCATATTTACCACCACCAAAAACATCCGACCACACTCCAATGTTCGAGAGTGGCGTTATTTTATGAGTTCACAACACAAACTCGAGTAAAGCCTTAATGGAATTTGGAGATTTTGAATACTAAATGTTATTTAATTTGCCCTCTGTTGGTCTCTCATGGGATTATCACAAAATTAAATAATTTTACCAATTAATAAAATGTTGGCCTTAAAGGTCCATAAAAAATAATATCGAATGTTTAAAGTTAACTGGAGCAAGGAAAGATTTAATGAAATCTTATTTTTTTAATATATAATTCTGAATCACTGAAGTAATATAGGTGCGAATTTCAAAAGGTGATCGTTTAAGATTAATTATTGTATCTGAAATATTTTAGTATATTGTCAGATGAACGCAAAACCCTTTTAAAAATATTTATGTCAATATTTCTTTAGTAGACAGACAAGACAAGAAAATCAGCAGGTTTTTTATTAAAAAAATATTGAAACGGAGTAAAAACAAAATTAAGTATGACTGGGTTGAAATTTGTTATAATCTTCCCGATGATATATTGCCATAATATGGAATAACAAAAAGTTTTCTTAGTAAGCCCGCAATGCCAAAATTTAGCTCATTATTGCAAATTCAGGCAGAGACCTTAAGTTAAAAACCTTAAATGGGCAATACACCAAATAGGAAACATGTATCAGCCCTTTTTTTAACGGGAAATATACTTAATAAAACCCCGAATGGACCCATGTAGAAACAACTGTTTTGTGAAAAGAGAACCCAAAATGTTAAATTGCAGCTGAAATACTTCTAAATCCTTGTTTAAACCATCAAAATACCGAAAATGGAGAGGTCCAATTATTTTGGGCTCGATCTAAAAAGTAACCTGAAAGATCTATTTTCAGTTCCAAGTATACTAGATACAATACTAATTATTTTGGCGAATTTTACAGTTCTACATCGGAACAGACAGGTGAAACCGAAGTAGAATTTTATGGCGAATATATAATTTAAGGGACCTCCGACAAATATTTCGAGGTGTTGAAGTGGGAATGACAAATTTAAAACGAGTTAAAAAATACCAGTCGGTTTTGCCGATAGATGTCTATGTCAGTATATTAAAATATGTTTCGGCTTGTCTCATGATTATTAAAATGTTGAAGCTTTATGGAGGAGATACCTAAGGAGTGGACCAATATTATCCACTTCTCATCTGAACTAACTTTCTGAAATATATTACCACGAGCCCGATTTTGACTATATCGACTACTTCCTTCAAATTATATAAGATATGTGATAATTATTGGGAATCATAGTTTTAACCTTTTGTGGTGGAGGTACGAGAAGGAGTGAGCCGATAAATTCCACATTCACATTAGATCTTTGATCTTAGTATGAAAAGAATCGCCGACTTGTTTCCCAAGTTATGAGAGATATAAGCATCGCAAATTGTGAACCTTTGCGTGAGAGGTACCAGAGGGGGTGCTCCAAAATCTATCATTTTCAAACCAGAACTAGTTAGTAAAAATATTGGGATATGTGGAATTTGAAGAGAATCGGATGTTTATCTCGCATTTTTACAAATGATTTCTTTATATTTGGCTGGAAAACCACAAGTGGGTATCATTAGAGCACTCCAGCATTTAAATGTGAATAAATCTTTTGTGTCTCGTACCATCGTTCCTTATCGTGATACTGGTAGCGTAGCCTGACGTCAAGGAAGTGGACTGAAGAAAACAGCGACATCAGCAGAAATGGTTCGAAAAGTAAAGAAGCGACTTGATCGAAACCCGCGTCGCAGTGGCCGAAAAATGGCTCGTGGGCTGAACATATCGCAATATTCCATTCGTCAAATATTGAAAAATGAGCTCGGGGTAAAGCCATTGAAATTCCAAAAAGTGCAAGAACTTACACCGCAACAGAAAGAAAATGGACTCAAAAGAGTTAAGGAGTTGCTTCGCTTGGTCGAAAGTGGTGAGCTGCCGAATTTGGTTTTCCCAATGAGAAAACATTCGTTGTCCGGCAGTTTGTAAATAATCGTGTTTACTTGGCAAAGAGATCAGCTGAAAATGTGCACCTTCGGTTGGTGTGGGCCGCCATAACAGTCGATGGTAGCTCTCCGCTCGTGTTAATCGACCGTGGCATCAGAATAAATGCCGAATATTATCGCGAAAATATTCTGGAGTGTGTATTAAAGCCTTGGGCACTCAAAGATTTTGGCCGCAGACACAGGACATTCCAACAGGACTCAGCACCATCGCACTCAACACGCGCCACCCAAGAATGGTTACAAAATGAGGTTTCTCGCTTCATTTCCAAAATCTCCGAATACCAATCCGTTGGACTATTGTGTCTGGAGAATTTTGGAAAACAAGGTTGGCACTAAAAAATACCAAAGTGTCGATCACCTTAAGCAAGCGCTTCGCCGTGAATGGGCCAAAATATCGCAGAACAACATTCAGCAGCGTGTGACGGTTTTATTGGCCGTTTGAAGGCCATAATTTGTACCAAAGGTGACCTATTCGAACAAATCTAAACTTATTCTAAAATTTGATGTTATTTCCGACATTTTTTACTTTCATTAATAAAATTAAACAAGTAAGCAAAGGCTACAGTCGAGCGGGGCCGACCGTTGAATACCCTACAACACTACAATAAACGATACAGTTTATATAGGCGAGATACTCGAAAGAATTCCACAAGATATTGTGACAAATAATAAAAGAAAACCATCAGGTTTCGTTCTCTAATTTTCGAATAATAGCAACTTAAAATAATTTGCTCATTTCCAATTTATTGGTAGATGTTGTACTTAAATGGTCTCCCTAGATCTGGAACCAATATGTTCCAAAGACCTATAATCTCTCAGAAGTGGCAAATGATTAACATTTATTATTGGTTTTTGACTGAAACGGATCTATATGAGATACAGACATTTGACTATATTCTTCAACGAAATCAGCGTTAACGAAATAGTCAGAAGTGTATTCTCCAAAAAGTCACTGGAATGGATATTTTCGTATTTTGTCTACAAAAGTTGGCAAACTCCTTCTTTCCTGCCAAGAGGCCACTCTGAATTAATGAGAACTGTCGAAATCAGTTCAGCCGTTCTCGACATATATGAGATCTTTCAAGCATATCTTCTTTGATAGACATATATATCGCACATATTTTGCTATATATCCGTTTTGTTGGATTTTAACATCAATGTAAAGATCAGAAGTAACCTTGTCATGGCTTTGTGATTTCGCCGGGATTTAAAATATTCGCGGTTTAATGAAAAATGTTGAATTTTTTCAACAGAAAAGATATGGTCTATTTTACCCGCTAAATATTATTCGATGACCACCTAAATTGGTAGGCTTCTTCCCCGCCCTAAACTCTAGCTACATGCGAAATTCCGCGTCGATTTGTCTATAATTGCGACCTGTAGAGCAAGTGCAAAATCAGGAATTTTTTCAGTTTTTGGTCCATTTCAACCCCTAAATATTATGCGATCATCACCAAAAGAAATAGGGTTCTATTCTGACCCTAGCCCTACCTCCATTTTAAATTTCGTGAAGATCGGACCATAATTGCGACCTGTAGAGTGATTACAAATTAACATGGACAGACGGACAGACGGACGGACGGACATACATAGCTAGATCGACTCAGCTCGGCGAGCTAGGAAGATCCATATATACTTTCCTATGTGGTAAACCAATATTTCGTGGTGTTACATAATTTTTGGCCCAATCAAACTTATAATACCCCCAACACATAGTGTTGTAGGGTATAAAAAATAAATAAATATTAAGGGGATTGACTTTGCTGCATCTTGGATGAATTGTATGAACAATACAGGATGAGATAAAACATCCTGTATTGTTCATCCAATTTGTTATATTTTTCATTTGTTATATGAAACTCTACTAAATATGCAAAAGGGGTGTTAGGTATCATAAAGTCGGCCCCGCCCGACTTGTATACTTTTTTAGTGGCTCTCATCTATGGATATTCTACCGATAACATGCATTTGGACCTCTGTAGACTACAGACTTATAAAACTGCTGTACAAAGGTCAGGAGAAAGGTGAAATATTAATTTTGGGGATGAAAGTCCTTGGCAACTATATTAAAAATCCCGAGTTTCAGGTTAGCTGGGAGCCGAACTTTTGATCTGTGAAGCATTTATATGAAGGCTATATATGGATTTGAACCTATTTTCCTATAATATACATAGCAAACAAACATACGTTAAGACAAATCTAAACCTATTCTTAAATGTTATGCTATTTCCGGCATATGGGAGCTATAGCTATATCTGAGTCGATTTTCACCAAATTTCATGTACTTGCTTCTAGACTGAATTCAGGCGGATGGGCCAAAATTCAGGTCATTTGGACTTATATATTGGCTATTAACTCGAAATTTAACTGGGAGCTATGTCTAAATCTGATCAACAGAGTTAGTCATTGGGTCAAACAAATATTGTTTACAAAATTTCGTCTCAATCGGATGATAAATGAAATCTGCATTTTGTTCACAAAAATACATGGAAAGTGATTCTATGAATATCCTCAAAATTAACTATGGGTCTATCTCTCTTCCTTCTCCATATTACAAACAAATGCACAAAGACATAATACCCTTACCACTATGTGGTGTAGGGTATAAAAATGTCATTTATCGCAAATATACAGCGTAAAAGGAGCATACTTTCTATGGGGCCATAGGAAAACATGGAGCTATAAAAAAATGTTTCTACCATTGAAAATAGTGGTATTAAGAAGAACAAAATTCAAAAAATAGACGGTGAAACAAGACTGTTGCTTTTCTCAATAAAAAGTAAAATTGTGTGTTATTATTGTTATCCTAATTGTTAATTGTTTTGTATCTTTGTAGTATTTTTCCCTGAAGATGACTGTCGAAGACAGTCGAAATATCGGAAAATAAAAATCAAAATTATAAAAAGAAAACACTGATGTTTTTCAATTGACCTTAAGCCAAAATAAAGTTAATAAGAATCAATATACAGGTCAACAATAAAAAACAACAACATAAAAATCACGGAAGGCACCCCGCGCAAGAATACGATCTACACATAATACATAAAAATGCATTTATACAAAGATATACGGAGAAAATATAACACAACCACAATCAACAAAATAAAACAATATTCAAAATGTAACAGGCAAACAGCATCGTTGTCCGCATCAGTTACATTTTTAATAAAATGCAGAAACATTGGTATTATACCAAACTTCATACACAACACAACCAAAAACACTTACAATATGTTCAAAGCAAACGACAAAATACCGCCAAATTTATTAGCTTCTTTAAAAACACACAACTACAATTTTCACTTAAAACTACTCAAACTTCTAATACAGCACAAACATAAAGAACTGCACAAAAACAAAATCACAGTTACAAAAACCAAAGAAACACTTCAACAAGTAATGGACGAGAACGATTTTTCTCTTCTCATGGAGAGCGAAAATCATTTACATAAAACACACAACAACAATAACAAAACAAGACACGTCAGAAAATACGAAGCACTGCTACAAAAACAACGCGAAAAACTCAACATTAAACACAACAATGAGTGGTTTTCGAACAACACAAGCACAGTCATACCTGAAGATATTCAGTGGCTACTTTCGTTGGGACCAAAATATGCGTTACCAACAACAAAAGCATCATTCCCTTTATTAAATGTAATAGCAGAGAGCGAGGAGTGCGTGCAAACTTTAATCAATAAGGAAGATCAAGAAAACGGGAGAATAAAACTAGTCTCTCTGATTGACGACCACTTACAACGGACAAAACTGAGTATAAGAGATAAAATAATAATTGACACAGTGGGTAGAACAAAACAATTTTTAAAACAAAACAAAGATATCTTAATTTTAAATGCCGATAAAGGGGGAAAGACTGTTGCTATGTATAAGAATGAATATGATACCAAAATGAAGAACATACTGCGGGACATGTGCATATATAGACGACTAAAACGGGATCCAACTTATAACCTACAAAATAAAAACAACAAATTGACGGAGAAATTACTAAAAATGAATATAATAAATGTTTTTGAAAAAAACAAATTGAGTACAAACACAGCAGTTGCGCCAAGAATTTACGGACTACCCAAAATTCATAAAGAAGGAAACCCACTTAGACCGATATGTTCATCAATAAACTCCCCAACATATGAGCTTTCCAAATACATCGTGGATATTTTAAAACATTTGACGAAGGATTCTAGTTATAATATCAAAGACGCGCTGGATCTAAAAGACAGAATTAAAGAAGTAAAAATTGAAGAGGACAAAATCTTATTATCATTTGACGTTGTATCGCTGTTTCCCAGCATACCTATACATTTAGCTTTGAAGACAATAACAGAAAAATGGGACATTATTAAAACACATACACAAATTCCGAAGGACCTCTTCATAGAAATACTGACCCTTTGTATAAAAGAATCAAGATATTTTATGTATGATGACAAGGTGTATGAACAGAAAAAAGGACTTCCTATGGGATCTCCGGCGTCACCGATTATTGCGGATATCGTAATGGAGGAGTTATTGGACGCTACAATGGGAAAAATGATGACAAAGCCAAAAATATTGATTAAATATGTTGACGACCTATTTTGCATTGTAAAGAAAACGGAAATTGACAATACTTTAAATGTTTTAAACTCCTATGATAAAAATGTGCAATTTACCCACGAAAGCGAAGAACAAGGAAAGCTAGCATACTTGGACGCCCTTATAATTAGACAAGGCAATGAACTGATCCTTGATTGGTATCAAAAACCGACAGCTTCAGGACGACTTATCAACTATTATTCAAAACATCCAAGACGAATAAAAATAAATACAGCCGTAAATTTTATTAAAAGGGTACATAGCATAAGCGACGAAAGATTTCAACAAAAAAACGAACAGCGAATACGTAATATCCTTCAAAACAACGACTTCCCGAATAACACTATTGACGATCTTATAAAAGGCGCAAAAAACAATAACAAAATCAAAACGAGGGATACAATGGAAAAATTATACAAGCCAGTTACATACATATCTGGACTTTCGGAGCGATTCTGCAACTCCAACATTTATAATAAGGACAAGTATCAATTAGCCTTTAAATCGAAGAATAACGTCAACTCTTTATTTAGCAAAACAAAATCGAAAATAAAAAAAGAAGATAAGTGCAATGTAGTATATAAGATAAAATGCGCAGGGGACGAAACTAACATATGCCAGAAGGTATATGTTGGTACAACAAAAAGCAAACTTAAGACTAGACTATCTGGACATAAGTCAGATCAAAAAACGGACAAACCACTAGAACAAAAGACGGCGCTTGCGGCACATTGCACGATGACTGGCCATAAACCAAATTTTAAAGACGTTGAAATACTGACACAAGAAAATAATTATAAAAGACGTTTTACTCTAGAAATGTTAAATATTATAAACATACCAACAGATGTTAGAATGAACTATAAAACTGATACTGACCACTGTGCACACATTTATAGGAACTTAGTTCAAAAGCATAGACAGACAAAAATTTAGTTTAGCATAGACGGTGAAACAAGACTGTTGCTTTTCTCAATAAAAAGTAAAATTGTGTGTTATTATTGTTATCCTAATTGTTAATTGTTTTGTATCTTTGTAGTATTTTTCCCTGAAGATGACTGTCGAAGACAGTCGAAATATCGGAAAATAAAAATCAAAATTATAAAAAGAAAACACTGATGTTTTTCAATTGACCTTAAGCCAAAATAAAGTTAATAAGAAAATTCAAAAAATTTAATTAAAAAATATGGCTACAATCATCAATATACTGAATATCGGGAGGTACCGGTATATGGGGGCTATATGAAATCTCATATAAAATTTCTGACTAATATTGTCTAACTTCTATTTATATTTAGAAATTTTGCAAACGAGTATCAGTCGATCAATCTATCTGTCTACATATCTATTTATTTTTTAATAAAAGTGTACAACAAAAAGTGTAACTTTACCCAGATTTTTATTTTTGTACTCATTTTCAGTCAGACTTGCACCTACTGCTACCGATTAAGTTTCCACATATTCCGTAAATAAAATTATTGTTTATTTTTTTCCTCAAATTTTTAGTTATTTCACATTTTCTCATCTCATTATTGTATTCGCTCGAAACATCTTGATTATTAAATGTTATTAATTTTTAATAAACAACGACGAATGTCGATGTCACAACAACCAAAAGAATCCATGTTTAACGAATGTCTGGACAAATCAAACATTGATTAAATTTATTAAAAAAAAACGAATATTTTTTCTTCACTTTCTTGTCAAGGAATTTGCAGACATGCGTTTCCTCTCCGAGCTGGAGAAAAAGAGTATCAAATCCAAATTTTATGTGAAACCCTTTTTAATAAGTCAACATTTTTTGCAGTTTTCACTTGGCGTTGTTTTTTCTCCAGGAATTCGTCCAAACAAAACCATTGTCCAGCCATTGCCAGTCAGCAAATGCAATGCAAAATTAAACTTCTCCTGTCCGCATTGCAAGCATCTTGTGACGTTATGAAATAAATCTCATCTGATTATTGGTGGATTTCTGAATGTTAAACAAAATTGTCGGGAGCAGTCAACGGTGAAAAAACCTGTGATTTAGGAGATGAGCAAAAATTCTGTCAACGTTTTTTTGTGCGGATTCCTTGGGATTTGTGTCTCAGGAGACAGAGTAGAAACAGAGTAAAAAATCTCCAAGGGTCTGGGTATGACGAGACCGGAGAGTTTGAAGGAATTCCATTAAGAAAAAACGCTCGTCCTGCACGGACAAAAAATGCTACGGTTGCGGGCACATTTTTTCGGTGGTCGATTTTTGTTTTGCTAACCAGCCAACTGCCACAGCAGTGGGAGCAGAAAAACTCACTTCAAGCTATTTAAAACATTAAATTATAGAATATAGAATGAGCGTCCGATGAAAAGCAGTCAAAAAACCAACCCAGTCAGCCATTCAGCAGTCACACACAAGCACTCACGAAAAACATCCCAAACTCAAAAATCCATCAACGCTTGGCTGGCAAAAAAAAACTGCTTAAAACTGTCGAAATCAACGAAGGCCTATAAAAACTATGATGAGTTGGAGACAAGCGGATGACGAATATCTCTACGCCATGCCATATCATGACAATATAAAGGTAGAGATTTTTTTGTGGCCGCGAAGTATTCGTGTGATCACCATCCCTCCCGTCAGACTCCAATGGCTTGAGGAAGCGAATGATCATTATCATGATGCTCATCTTGATCCTACTGCAGCAGCGGCAGCGGCTGTGAGTAACAGTTGACATTCTTTTTTGTTGCTGTTGGTTGTTGTTTCTTTTTTTTTTTTTTTGTTTGTTTGGTGTCGTTGTCGCTACTACGTCGTTGGCTTAAAAGGCTTAAAGATGCGTTAAATTCGCGCAACAACAATTAAGCACGATTTCGAATATAAAAAAATACGAATTTTGAAAAACACCAAACATTACAGACAGCTACACTCTGTTAGAATTGTTACGCAGTTACAAATGTTGAAATGAAAAATTAACAACTACTCAAGATTTACAGTATCCGACCGCAGCAATATAACATGTGAGGTCTGCTCAAAGGGAAAAATGAGGAAGAATTGGCTACAAATAAAAATTGAGAAATGTTTGAAAGTTTATACTAAGCAACAGGAGAAGTCGAAAAAGTGGACCAATATTGTCCATTTTTGCCCTCCACATAAGTCTGGTGGAGGTACCAGAAGGAGTCCCATCTGGAGGTACCAGAAGGAGGTTCTCTCTGCACAGCAAAACTTTTTTTAGTAAAAATATTGGGATTTAAGAAGTCTAAAGGAACTTGTTATTCAAAATTCTCACTCGTTGTGGGAGAGGTACCAGAAGGAGTAGGCCGATTTTCACAGCAGACCTTGCGTTAGTAGAAAAATTAAAATGAGAGAAGGTTAGAAATTATCCGGTGCTTATCTCTCATTTTATGTGAGTTTTGGTTGTTTAAAACATTAATCTGTTGTGGGAGAGGTACCAGAAGGAGTGGTCCGGTATCTTTCATCTTCACACCACACCTTTTATTGATAGAAATATTGGCATGTGCCGATTTTTGAAAGTTGTCGGATGCTCATTTTGCTCAATGGTTATTCAAAATTTTGACCCGATGTGTCCGTTCCTTATACTAGATCTTGTGTTGGAATAAATATTGAGTTGTGCGAAATACAGGGTGATATAAAAAACTGCAACAAAGTCCAACGCCATAATATTTACATTTTTTTTAATTTAATTAAGCGAGGAACCTAAGTTTGTAACCATTCTTGGGTGGCGCGTGCTGAATGTGATGGTGCTGAGTCCTGATGGAATGACCAAGGTCTGCGCCCAAAATGTTTGCGTGAACAAGTCTTTAATACACCCTCCAGAATATTTACGCGATAAAAGTCGGCATTTATTCTGTTACGACCATCGGCTGTTATGGCGTCTCTCACCATCACCATGGCCGGCGCTTAAGTTCTGGTGGTCAACCGAAGGTGTACATTTTCAGCTGGCTTCTTTGGCAAGTAAACATGATCAATTTGTTTGTTTACAAACTGCCGGACAACGAATGTTTTCTCATCGGAGAAAACAAAATTCGGCAGTTCACCACTTTCGGCCAAGCGAAGCAATTATTTTGAGTCTATTTTCTGTTGCGGTGGTACCAGAATGAGTTGACCGTCTCCAATTGCGATCTAAGTGTGATAATAATATTACCATGTAGCAAGCATGGACCTCGATAGTTATTGTGCGCACCTGTCAGTCAGAGGCAAATTTTGACCGTGTCAAAATTTTGAAAATCCAAAAGGGCCGATAAGACCTCTTTGTTGACTTACTGGCCTAGGCTTTTCGGTGAAACTTCTCGTATTGATGTCAGGTTATTTTGCGATATAAAATTTCAAAACGCCAACAAACGTGCCTTCCATTTTCTGTCTTATGCTGTAGTAAATTTTTACGAACTTCAAATACCGTATTTGAAACAATTCCGGTAAAAAGTGTCGCTAAAATCATCAAAACACCGGTTATCGGGATTACCGTTATATGGGGGATATACGAAGACGTGGACCTACATGGCCCATTTTCAATACCAAAAGTCCTGCAGACATAACACACATTTAAATAAATTTTTATCAACTTATTTAATTTCGTTCGGAAGCTAGAGTGATTTCCACAGACGGACGGACATTGCTAAATCGGCATAGAATTTAATGCTGATCAAGAATATATATTCTTTGTGGGGTCTAAAATGTATATTTCGAGGTGTTACAAACGGAATGACAAACTTAATATACCTTTCATACTATGGTGAAGGGTATAAAAAATATTCTTGTCGCACAGTGTATTAAATACGGCTTATCTTCCTCTTTATTGGGAAACCAAACATTCACCTTCAAAATTACAAGCCCTCACGCAAACATTTTGGCCGCAGACCTTGGACATTCCAATAGGACTCTGCACCATCGCACTTAGCACGCCCACCCAAGAATGGTTACAAAATGAGGTTCTTGGCTTCATTTCCAGCGCACAATGACCACCAAAATCTCCGGATACCAATCCGTTGAACTATTGTGTCTGGAGTATTTTGGAAAGCAATGTTGACACTTAAAAATACCAATGTGTCGATCTCCTCAAGCAAGCGCTGGGAGTGGGCCAAAATACCGTAGAGCAATATTCGGGCAGCGTGTGACGGTTTCATTAGCCGTTTGAAGGCCATAATTCGTACCAAAGGTGACCAATTCGAACAAATCTAAACTTATTCTAAAATTTAATGCTATTTCCGATATTTTTTGCACACCACAATTTAAAAAAAAATGTAAAAATTATGGGGTTTGACTTTGTTGCAGTTTTTTTTATCTCACCCTGTACATATAAAGATGGAAATAAAAATACGTGAAAAAAAAATATTTCAGATCTGCAATATAAAATTTTCCGATCACAAAATCTTCACTGTGCATTTGTAGATTCCATCGCAACATGAATCAGTATGGCGATCTCTAAGAATTAAATACTTTTTAGCTCCTGGGAATTTCCAAGAATTGCTATCCATTAAGTTCATGTTATTTTCATTTTTTTTTCAGAATCATTCTCCACCCGACACTCAAATACCCAATAATTAGAAACAATTATGGCTAGTAACCAAAGTGAAAAAATCAAATATGAATTAATTTAAGCATGTCTAACACCTGGAAGTTGATCCCTTTTGCGTTCCGAAGTGAATTTCTGCTGCTGTCGCTAAGACTTAACACCTCTTTTTTGACTAATGATGGGGAATAATGATAATTCTTTGCGGCTCGCTGCTGCTGCACTTTCTATGAGAAAGGGCCAACAAATCAATTATTTGTGCATTTAGGGTATACGTAACGAAATTAACAACAACAACTACTACCACCTTTGGAACCAGGAAACATAAATTAAATATCATTCCCAGTTATAAAGACAGCCATACTCTAAAATATGTGAGTGAGGAGTGTGTGTGTGGCAAAGGAAAGGCTAAATGGACGGACGGATTTATATTCTACAATGTCATCTAAGCGTAACTAAATACCACCAATTCTCTTAGCCTGTTCCTGGTTTTCGGTCAAGATGGAGATGGAGAGACAACGTGATCCAGCGAGAGTAGGTGGTGTAAATACAGTTTGTTATTAACAAAAAAAGGCCGATCAGAATGTGATCGGCGACCATGTCTGTCTTGTTTTTGTTGGTTACTTCCCATTTTTTTGGTTTTTTGGGAGTTCATTTATTTTTTTTGTTGTTATTTAT